AGATGAGAAGATAGAAAGAAAGATATTGGCGATTATTTTTATAAAAAGCAAAAGAAAACCAACTATTGTTAAATTTAGTTTCTCAAGAAAAAAAAATTTTTTTTTAAACCTTTGCAGATTTTTTTACGTGTCTCTTTTAACGATGTAACTTAGAAAAGGCTAAGATAAGCTGTCAAACATAATGGTACATGTAAATTTTATTTCTCAAATGACGCACCGTATAATTATTAATATTTATTTTCTACGTAAAGAGCAGAATGTACGTATAATGTCTGTATAATTGAAAATGCGAATTAACGAGTCACAACGAAGAAATTACGAAATTTAACAGTAATTTTTCAATAATTTATATCGCATTGCAGTACAAACATTTCCTTAATTTTTAAATCTTGTAATTTCTTACAGACTTTCAGCGACAAGCTGCTAGGTGTGATGTCTTGGATAATGCCATTATTCGTGGCTTGTTCAACCTTTGGAGCATTAAACGGAGCAATTTTTGCCTCATCGCGATTATTTTTCGTAGGAGCTCGAAATGGACATTTGCCAGCTGCCATTGCCCTCATCAATGTACGAAATTTAACACCTATGCCTTCACTTATCTTCCTGGTAAATAATTTATTCATCTTTTAAACACCTTGTGCGGAGTCTATTTTAAATATCTATAAAGAGCTGGTTCGAGATTATTTTTAAATATTGAAATGTTTGACAATTGGGTCGAAAGTGAACTGAGAATTAAAAAGTTGTAAATATGTATGAACAAGTCAATATATAATGTAATACCATTACATATATATATAATAAATAGTTCACTTTATTGGAATTATCCAAATAACTTAAATCGTTCTTATATTCTTATTGCTTGATTCTTTCTTTTTTCGTTACATTTTCCTTGACACAAATATCCATGAATCATAGAAAAATGCGTCTCTACGCGTCGCAATCGCTTGAAACACAAGTTCAGCTACGTTATTTAAAGTAACATAGTAATAATAATTTTATGTGAAACTAAAAACATAAAGGATTGAAACGTTTGTATATATGTGACAAATGAAAAAAGAATGTTAGAAATTGCACGTGAAAAACCATTATAATTAGCTAGTCCGTATATGACAATCGTAGAACCACCGTCTTGATTCACAGCTGCTAATTGAGAGCAATAAATTAGGTCTTTCATCCCGTTAACGATCCCTTTGATCGTTGATAACGGCAGTCTTTTTGAGTCACGAGTGATTCAATTGTTCAAAATATTTACAAAAATCTTATTCCAATCAAACGATGAAAGAAAAAATTAAACAATTTGAAAAATGTGACGTTTGAATATATTTGATGAATTGAAAAATAAAGGTGGAAGATTTTTCACGCGCAGAATTTGGATAAATGATAATCTCAAGGAATCACGAGATGATTTTTAAAGAGATTTTAAATCATTATCCGGATAATTCAGAGGAATTTTTAATTTAATATTCTCAAAATTTTAGGTATATATGTAAAACACGTCCTATCTATCTAATTTCAATCTGTTAATGATGTTACAAGTTTCTGACTCGATGAAAGTAAC